CAAATTTATTTAAAATATCATATGAAATTACCTTCAGACTGTGCATAAAATGCACAAGAAATATAACTGAATTTCATGTTTATATTTAGTTGCCATCCCCAAGATCTCATTATGTATATACAAATATTCCAAAATCAAAAAAAAAAAAAAAAAAGAAAATCCAAAATCCCAAACACTTCTGGTCCCAAGCATTTCCCATAAGGGATATTCAACCTGTATTATGAAAATCTCTAATAATGACAGCACCTTGGAATACACATAGCACAGTTTATATTCTCACTACCTATTCTAGCTACCTGTAAGTAAAAACTTATGTTACTCAATTGATTCTGAGTGCTCCATGAATAATAAATTTCACTCTAAATTGGAAAATAGCTTCAGCTTTATTAGTAACTGTGAACAGGTAACATTACTAAATACCAAATGTATACAGCACTGTAAAAAATTAAGGCATCCTGTTTCTGCCTGTTGGTACTCACGACCAGAAACCAATGGAAAAATAGGAAAATAAATTACCATCTTACAACTTATTTCACAATTTACCCAAGAAGTTCAACATAATTTCATCTAATTATTACAGCATGTTCACATAAACATCATTTGGTATAATGTGTTAAGGAATCTACATTACATAGAAATACTTATTGGAAGAAATTTTAACTTACAGAAAATGGAATTTGCCTGATACAGAGCATAAGCCTTCAATATTATCCTCTGGAGGTCTGTCTTCAGCTTACCCTCTGACCTTCCAAAATTAGGTACAAATTTTAAAGACTAAATATTTCCCAATTTCTAACTGGACATTTTCAGTGGAATTTTAATGTCATTAAGTATTTTTTAATGACAAACTTTCATCTGTAGCAAATAGTTTCAATCAAACCCTTTAAAATTTTTAAATTATAAAATGGCATATCTTTCGTGCTTCAAGTAGATTCTACAAATAGGTCATTTGAAAACTGCTTTTCTTTTTCTTCCACATTTTCCTGTATCTGTTTCCCTTGCATATACAAGCCCAACTTGTCTTCAGGTTCTCTGGTGTGGTGGTAAGCGTCAACTTTTATCACATTTTCTGCTTCGACATAAAACAATTATCAAGAATTTAAAAATTAACTGCCATCAGAAAAGCTACTTCAGAAAGACTTTAATTTTATCTATTAACAATTCGTTTTGGGCTGGGTGCCCCGTGGTTCATGCCTGTAATCCTAGCACTTTGGGAGGCCGAGGCAGGTGGATCACGAAGTCAGGAGTTCGAGACCAGCCTGGCCAACAAGGTGAAACCTGTCTCCACTAAAAACACAAAAATTAGCCGGGTGTGGTGTGGCACGCGCCTGTAGTCTCAGCCACTAGGGAAGCTGAGGCGGAAGAATCCTTGAACCCGGGAAGCGGGGGCAGCAGTGAGCCGATACCACGCCATTGCACTCCAGCCTGGGGGGCGACAGAGTGAGACTCCATCTCAAAAAAAAAAGAAAAAGAAAAAAAAAAACACACACAATTTGGTTACAACAGAGTAAAATATAAGCATTCACAGAATTTATAATTTTAATTTTACCATCACAAAAAGCAAAAACATCCTCACAGCTATAACATCATATATTAACTGAAAGGAATTTTTCCATTTATAAAATATTGACTATTTCTAATCTTCTGCAGTAAAATGCTGAAAGCACCCAGGATGGTGGAGGCATGAATCAGGAATCCTAGAAACCAGACCTGAACTTTAAAACTTAATATGGCTACACCCCCACTAAAATAGCTAAAATTAAAGAGACTGACAAGATCAAAATGTTAGCAGGGATATGGAGCAACAGGAACTCCCATATATCTTCGTTGGTGGGATGGTAAAATGACACAAGCTTTTTTTTTGTATATGTGCTGCTGAAGCCAGCACTACACAAGCTTTTTTTTTTTTTTTTTTTTTTGAGATGGAGTTTCGCTCTTGTGGCCCAGGTTGGATGGCAATGGTGCCATCTCGGCTCACTGTAACCTCCCTCTCCCAGGTTCAAGCAATGATTCTCCTGCCTCAGCCTCCCGAGTAGCTGGGATTACAGGTGCCTGCGGCCATGCCCAGTTAATTTTTGTATTTTTAGTAGAGACGGGGTTTCACCACGTTGGCTAGGCTAGTCTCGAACCTCAGGCGATCCACCCGCCTCAGCCTCCCAAAGGGCTGGGATTACAAGTGTGAGCCACCACGCCGGGCCCACAAGCATTTTTTAAAACATAATTTCTCACAAAACTAAAACATACAATTGCCCTATGACCTACTCAAACCAAGTCTTAAGTATATAACCATGAAAGAAAAAAGAGTCCACAAAAACACTTGTATAAGACTGTTCACAGTAACTAACTGGAAACAGCTCAGGTGACTTTCAACAGTGAATAGATTATGGTATATACATACAGTGGAAAACTACACACCAATAAAAAGAAAGGAACTACTAATACATGCAACAAAGACGAAACTCAAAAACATTATGCTGAGTGGGAAAAAAAAGGCTTACCCAGAAAAATACAAACAGTACTATAGACTATATGGGATCCCACTTAATGTTAAATTCTAAAACAGGCAACTCTGTAACTTATGGCATTTAAAAAAAAAAAAAAAAAAAAGGTGGGTAGTTGATGGAAAGGCCGAGTGACTGAAATGACTTGGGAAAAGGTAAGAAAGAACTCTCTAGTCAATTACAATGTTCTATATCTTGATAAGAGCTTGGGCTACACAGGTGTAAGCATTTGTGAAAACTCATGGAATGGCATGCATTTCACTGCATGTCAAAATTACGTCAAAAAACGTAAAAAAAGAGGCTGAACTTAGGCAAATATCAGTTCACAATGCTGAAGTGACATGTACTGGTGTCATCTACTGACACGTGCAATTTACTCTGAATTGCTCCCCAAAAATAAAATGGACTTGATAATCGATTATAATACTGTAAAATGCTAATTGTAGATGATGGACATATGTGTGTCCACTGCCCAGTTCTTTCAACTTTCTGTATGCTTGAAAATACAAAAACGGTAAGGAACATTTTTACAGGCACTAGGAGACCAAAAAAAAAAAAAAGAGTGATAAATTCCGTTGATGGTAAAAGTTTCTCTCATTCGATGTTACACACCTCACTGCCTCACAAAACACACTACCTTTGGAACTCGCTAAACCAATATCCCAATCCCCTACAGTCCCTGGGGACTCTGATAGGTACATTTCAGGAATTGTTGATTGTTTCCTGTCACAAACTGTTCACGTTGTGTGCGATCTTCAGAGATTAAGTCAATAATCATGGAAAATACGACGTATTCAACAATACACTAAAATTATTTGTTAAATTCCACCAAGGATCTTAATTAACTGCAAGATTTGTATTCCTGAACGAAGTTTAAGTAATATTCTCCATTAACTCCAATTTTCTTTTATTTGGCTGCAACAGCTAATATCAACATCGCTATCGCCTCTCTAAAATCAAACAAAAACCTACCCAATGACTGGCATCTAAGAGATGATAAACATACTAAAAGGGAAAGAGCAAGTCATCAATGAAAGAAAGTCATTCACTTTTCTCCTTAAACCTAGTACTATTACTATTGCTTAAGATGGAGCTAAAATCGGTTTCTACGTCATAATTTTTTTAAAAAGGTTGCAAGGTGGGAAAGATTTCAGGAGTTAAAATGCAGAACTAAATATACACGTGCAACTCACCCCAAAACCTATCTTAACAAGCAGGCACGTAAAACAACGAGGATCCCACCCAACCCCTTTTTTAATTCATAAAGCAAAACCGCAGCCTGAGCTAAAGCGAACCCTCGCCCCCGCCCAGCCTCCACCCCGCCCGGAGCCTAGCGGTGGGTCCCTTTCCTTTGTGAGGAATTGGAGGGGAGGCGACGGAGGGCGGGGAACTGGGGGAGGAGGCTGAGGGTCGGCGGATGCCAGGGAAAGAAGGCTCCGAGAAAAGCGGCATCGGCCCGTCCCACAAACAGGCCGCGCCGCCACGCCACAAACCACTGCGGTGTCCCAAAGCGCAAACCCACTAACTTGGGTGTGATCTAATTTGGGACGACGCCCGGGAGAATGGCCGAGGGCACCTGGGAGGATGACCCCTCTCCCAGGTCCTTCCCAAAAGGTCTCTTGGGGCGGCGGGCGGAGGTCCTGCCGCCACCCCCATCCCGGCCCGAGCACCAGGCGACCTCACCTGCTGGACGGAGCTATTCTCGGGCACGGCGAATTCCTCCTTTTCCTTCGGTGTCTTCACGGTGACTTTCATGATTTTGGGCTCCGCGGAGGCAGCGGCCGCGGGGACGCCAGCACCTTCGGCTCCGGCAGCGCTATCCTGGGAGCCCGGAGGACCGCCGCTTTCACCACTCTCGGCCATGGCTGCAGCGGCGGCGGCGGTGACTCAGGCAAGCAGGAGTGAGCAGGCGAGCAAGGAGGAGCCAGCAGACACCAAAGCCGACAGGCCTGGACAGCGAAGAATGCAGAGCACGCCGCCTCACTAGCAACGGGCGCAGGGCCACCCTAGCGGGTGTGGGGCCTCGGAGCTCGGTGCAGGCTCTGGCGCAGGCCCGGGTCAGGCGCTCGGCAGTCGCCGTGTGTTCAGGCGCCGCTCGCTCACATCGACATCCGCAGCAGCCACCGCTTCCTCCTCCCTGCCCCTTCCCCCACGTCCCTTCGCCGGCGCCGCGCGGAGCACGCCGGGTAACGCGCCTGGCGGCGTCGCCGAGTCATCCCTGGCTGGCGCCGCTTTGAGCTCAGCCTACGTGCCTTTTCCTTTCCCGCTCCATTGCCCAAAGTGTAGGCGAAGCCAGTGTGAAGGACTAAAAGCAAAATGGGGCGGGGCAGCTCAGTTCATGGTTTTTTTCCGTTCCCTTCACCAAAAACTAAATTGCAGTTTCCAGTTAAGCGCTGTAACGGCGCACCGAGATGACGTCAAGGTTAGCGAAATTACTAGAAAGGGACCAGTGGGCCCTGCGACCGCGGATGCGCCTGCGCGCTCGCGGTCCAGGTAATCTCCCCACCTTACTTCATTCCCGGCTGGGCAATGCTCAGCCCTCCGCGCTGTCACAGTCGCCTTGCCCTGCCTTGCCTCTCTGCCTACTCTGCGTTCCCCGCTGGGAGGAGGGTCTGGTGATAAAATAGCGGCGAGGTATTTTGTTGTTATTTTAATATGCTTAGCGTTTCATATTTGGAGGGCTGGTATTGCCCTATGCGGGGGAGTTGGGATAAGTTAATGGCGGAAAGGTCCACAGCACAACAAACAGAAAATGGAGTAAACGCCTGTGACTGCCCTGCGCAATCCCGCGGAGTCATTGCTTCGTGGCCAGAACTTATTTACCGCCCTCGGGTTAGCCCTGTTTGGTCAGACGATCAATCAGGCGACCTGTATTGACAGTGGCCTCTGCTGCTGCGATGACAGCTGTGCGCGAGCGCCCCCCGATTCTCTGTGAACTCGATTTCCTACAGTGTGTAGGGCGGAACAGGGTGCCCGAGGAGTGTCCACCCAACTGGGACAATGTAATATAGCTGAGGTGTTCACTTTCTATTCTATCAAGTTACTGCTCAATGTCAGGCTTTAAGTGGCATTAAGGATAGTTCCAAAATTATTTTCAGTGTAATACAGATAGAAATAAATTATCTCTGAGAATCCGAATTTGAAATTATATCATTTGGTTTTAAAGATGACTTGCAAGGAATGTACAAACCAGCACATTAACTATATTAATCAGTGTTGCACAATTTAAATCCTGACAGCCCATGGTGACCCAAATCCGCAAAGATACATTTTGCATTTCTGCTCCTAAGCCGTCCAACCCTGTTCTCAGAATAAATACTGTTACATAAACACGACTTTTTAGCAGAGCTATATGGAATCTGGGTCTAAGAGAATTCTGAGGGTATCGATTTCAGGATAGACATCATTTGATATCACCTAAATTTCTGGCAGCGTGGCTCAAATAACAAGGCCTTCTGCTTAATGAAGGATGACTACTTGGTTATGTCTAGGTGTGAGGTAATCACTGCTTCTCAAGATAGAAAGTGCCACAACTGGACAATCAATCATTTGGAATTTCTTCCATATGTCTAAATAAAATTTCTCCTCAACTTCATCAGCTCCTCATTACCTGTTTTTCCCTGTCATGCTGTGTCTTACCTGCACGCTTTGCCTAAGCTGCCTTCCTCTACCTAGAATGACTTTCTCCTTGCCTTCACCTGTCTAACTTCTATGCATCCTATATCACATGCTCCAGGAAGACTTGACGGTTTTTCTCTTGATTCTCCAGCAAATACCGTGTGTGTGTGTGTGTGTGTGTGTGTGTGTGTGTCTCCATGCATTTATGGACTTTGCAATTATCTGTGTCTACATTGTCTAAAAATGTTTGATGTGTGTGACATTATAAGGTAATAAGATTTACCTGTAAGAAGATACTGTATAGTTATCCATTGTTAGGGCACTTTTTTGATATAATCCTGACCTGTAAGAGACATTGGAGGTGGTGGGGACCATGGTGTAAATCAGAGATTAGTCAACTTTCTGGGAGGGCTGGATAGTAAATATTAGGCTGGTGCCAAAAAAAAAAAAAGCAAAAACCGCAATTATTTATGCACCAACCTAATATTTTAGGCTTTGTGGGCCACAGGATCTCAGTCTAAAACACTAAGCTATGTCCTTGTATCACAGAGTAACCGTTGACAATACATACATGAATAATCACAGCGTGTTTACTAAAAACTCTACTTGCAAGATAAAAACAGACATAAGATCTGATTTGGCCCACAGAAGATAGTTTGCCAACCCCAGGTCTAGATGTTTATTTGTGGCATTTTCTTCTGAATGGTTTTTGTTTGTTAAATGGTCTGGATAAAATTTTAAGAGTATATTTTATCACAATTAATGCCCTAATACTGTATAATACTGTACTGAGCATACAAGAATAATAAGAGTTTCTGCTGTCAAAAAACTTGAAGTGATAGTTGGATGGTGGGGGTAAGGGATGGGAGGGAAATTGGCAGTGATGTGCTGGTAAATGACTAATAACCAGTCCTCCTGAAAATAAACTTTGATTTATTACATTTGCCAATTTCCTTGATGTAAATCTTGCAAATGGTTACCAACTTGAGATCACCTTCCTCACAAAACATGTGAAATTTTACCAGTAAGCCCTCACAAGCCAGTATGAGCCAGCTGCAACTGAAGAAGTCCCATTTTGAGAAAATCCATTATTCAGAGTTCAAGTATATTGATAGAAGGTTATTATTCACATGATGGAATAATTCTTTTTTGACAAAATGATTCAGTCAATCAATAAGAATTCACTGAGTATCCTCTAACAAACGTTAATCCTCTAATCTTGTGTCCAGGAACATACCTTTAATACGAGGTACTACATATGTCATATAAGTGCTAGAAATAACATGCCTTCATCATGTTACTACCCTACTCAAAAATCTATCATAAGTTTCCCACTGCCTAGAATATAAAACCAAAGCTTTTTCTTTTTTTTTTTTTGAAACAGTTTCGCTCTGTCGCCCAGGCTGGATTGCAATGGCATGATCTTGGCTCACTGCAACCTCCACCTCCTGGGTTCAAGTGATTCTCCTGCCTCAGTCTCCTGAGTAGCTGGGATTACAGGCGTGCGCTACCAAGCCCAGCTAATTTTTGTATTTTTAGCAGAAACAGAATTTGACCATGTTGGCCAGGCTGCTCTCAAACTCCTGACCTCAGATGATCCACCCACCTCAGCCTCCCAAAGTGCTGGGATTACAGGTGTGAGCCACTGCGCCCAGCCCAAAGCTTCTTAACTAGACCTTCCACAGCTAACTCCTAGTGTTGACTCCTGTTGCTCTCAATGTATACACTCCATTCCAGTCAAATACCTTTATTACCATCTCTAGAAACACTTGTACGTTATACTTTTCTTTCTTCTGATCATTCCTTCAAGTCATTACACCCACCTCCTTGTACCCATTATTGCTACCTGCTTTCTGAAACTCCTTGAATACCCAAGCCTACAGAATCAGACCTTCCGTCATAATTACCTGCACATTTCACTTGACCATTCATCATTTGTAGCACAGCTTCTATCATCTAAAACTTTCTCCCGCTACCAGTCTAATTTACATCCTCATTAGCTCTGGCCTAGATTACAGCAGTAACCTCCTACAGATTCCTCTGCCTCAATCTAAAGTCTCCATCCTCAACTCTTATTTTCCAGTGATGCCATATGTTATCCTAGAACGAAGCTTTGATTATGACACCTGCTTGAAAACTTCCAGTCACTGTCACCAAAGTGTTAAGAGTACTGTCTAAATTTTGTGGCATGGTGTCCATGGTCTACTGTAACCCAAAGACCTTGCTCTTCACTTATATCATATCCTCAACCAAAGTGGTCAGCTAAGCTCTCCAAGCATGTCTTGTACTTTCCAGCTTCAACTGCAAGTAGAAATTCTTCCCCCATACTTTGACCCCATCATTTTACCCATCCTGCAAGACTCAAATGTGACATTCCCTAATAACCCTTTTTTGATCCAAAATAGTCTTTAAATCCTCTATACTCCCATATAGCTTTATTACCTTCTTGATGTCACTTACCAAATTCTGTCTTGTATCACATGTCTGTGTATATCTCCTTTATTAGATAAAGGCCTTGAAAACAGGGATCAAGTTTTAATCATTATTTATACCAGAGGTCCCCAACCCCTGGGCCATGGACCAGTACCAGTCTGTGGCCTGTTACGAACTGGGCTACACAGCAGGAGGTGGTGAGTGACAGGCAAACAAGCATTACCGCCTGAGCTCCACCTCCTGTCAGATCAGCAGCAGCAGCGGCATTAGATTCTCATAGGAGCGTGATCCCTATTGTGAACTGGGCATGTGAGGGATCTAGGTTGTGTGCTCCTTAAGAGAATCTAATGCCTGATGATCTGAGATGGAAGAGTTTCATTCCAAACCATCTGCCCCTGACCCCCAGTCCATGGAAAAATTGTCTTCCACAAAACTGGTCCCTGGTGCTAAAAAGGTTGGGGGACTGCTGGTCAGTACAAAAGTAATTGTGGTTTTTGCATTGCTGGAATTTGTTGTTTGACATTGAAATACATTCTTAAATGTGGTTATGTTATACATCATTTTAATGTGCATTTTTTTTTTTTTTGCTAATGACATTGCTGTTTGTTTTATATTTATTTTAAGACTGTGGAAATGATGTTAGACAAAAAGCAAATTCGAGCAATTTTCTTATTCGAGTTCAAAATGGGTTGTAAAGCCGCGGAGACATCTCGCAGCATCAACAACGCATCTGGCGCAGGAACTGCTAACGAACACACAGTAGTGCAGTGGTGGTTCAAGAAGTTTCGCAAAGGAGAGGAGAGCCTTGAACATAAGTAGTATAGTGGCTGGCCATCAAAAGTTGACAGTGACCAATTGAGAGCAATCATTGAAGCTGATCCTCTTATAACTACACAAGAAGTTGCCGAAGAACTCAGCATTGACCATTCTACAGTCGTTCGGCATATGAAGCAAATTGGAAAGGTGAAAAAGCTTGGTTAAGTGAGTGCCTCGTGAACTAAGCAAAAATCAAAAAAATCGTGGTTGTGAAGAGTCATCTTCTCTTATTCTACATAACAACAATGAACCATTTCTCATTTGGATTGTGATGTGCCACTACAAGTGGATTTTATACGACAGCCAGTGACAGCCAGCTCAGTGGTTGGACCAGGAAGCTCCAAAGCATTTCCCAAAGCCAGACTTGCACCAGAAAAAGGTCATGGGCACTGTTTGGTGGTCTGCTGCTGTTCTGATCCACTACAGCTTTCTGAATCCTGGTGAAACCCTTACATCTGAGAAGTATGCTCAGCAAATCAATGAGATGCACCAAAGACTGCAATGCCTGCAGCTGGCATTGGTCAACAGAAAGAGCCCAATTCTCCACGACAGTGCCCGACCACACACTGCACAACCAGCACTTGGGAAGTTGAATGAATTGGGCTACAAAATTTTGCCTCATCCTCCATATTCACCTCACCTCTCTCCGAACGACTACCACCTTCTTCAAGCATCTTGACAACTTTTTTCAGGAAAAACGCTTCCACAGTCAGCAGGATGCAGAACATGCTTTCCAAGAGTTGGTTGAATCCCGAAGCATGGATTTTTATGCTACAGGAATAAACAAACTTATTTCTCATTGGCAAAAATGTATTGATTGTAATGGTTCCTATTTTGATTAGTAAGATGCGTTTGAGCCGAGTTACAATGATTTAAAATTCACAGTCCAAAACCACAATTACTCTTGCACCAAGCTAATACCACACAGTGCCCAGTGTAATTTCTTGGCATGAGAGCATTTATCGTTGAACTGAATTGTTGAACCATCATGTTTCCCACCAGAGAGGAAACTCCTTTAGAGCAGTAGATCATATGTTATACTCCTTTGTCTCTCCTGAAGTTTATAGTGTAGTGACATAGATGATTAATTCAAAGGAAGATAGATGTATAGATACATGCCTTAGAACTTACTTGCTTTACAATAGAAGTTCAGAGAAAGGAAACATTGGGGCAGGGGAATGTGGACAAGTCAGAGGCTTTTGAAGGAAATGATTTTGAGCCAGCCCTTAAGGAATGGATATGATTTTAAGCATGTTGAGAGGGACAATGTCTTGAGAAAGAGTTCATAATGGGAAATAGAACCTCTCCTAGAACACCAGTCCCAAAGTGGGTCCATAGCCTAGGAACAATTGGAATATTTCATGAATATCTCTAGGGCTACTTCGAAATCAAAGGAAATAAAGTGTTCCAGTTGTTTCTGAGTCTTCGGGCTGGAGAAGAGGTGGTGGTAAAGATGGGTGTTTACTAATTTGCCAACTAAAACTTTAGACACTGGGTAGAAGGTGCAAATATTAGGTTGGTGCAGAAGTAACTGCAGTTTTTGCCATATTTTAATGACAAAACTGCAGTTACTTTTGCACCAACCTAATACATGTACAGCCACTACAAACTTTGGATAAAAGGTGCTAAGTAGGATCCCACAGTTTTCTTGGTGCTGTACCAAGCACTGCATAACACACAGAAGCAAAGGGGACACTGGCAGCGGCAAAAGGTAAAGAGAGCCTCTTTGAAGAACACAGCTGGGGCTCTATTCATTTTTTCGCTTTTTATTTTGAAGTAATTATAGGAAGTTGCAAAAATAGAACAGAGTTCTGTGTACCCTTGCTTCCCCCAGTGGTAGCATTTGATATTGTTGCATAATATCAAAATTAGGAAATTGACATGTTGACTACAGACCTTACTGGTTTTTATCATTTTTTTACCTGCATTTATTTGCACACGTGTGTGTATGCATGTAGCTCTATGCAAAATTCCATACATAAATTTGTGTTACCATCACTGCAGTCAAGATAGAGAATTATTCTATCACCAGTCTCACTATTTTTAATCTTTCCTGTATTACAGGGTTTTTCAACCTTGATACTATTGACATTTGGGGTCAGATAATTTTATGTTGTGGGGGGCTTTTCCGTGCATTGTAGGATGTTTAGCAGAATCCCTACTCACTAGATGTCAGTAGCAGTCCCACCCTACCCCCGTCATGACAATAGAAAATGTCTCTAGACTGTGCCAGATGTCACATGGGAGGCAAAATTGCCCCTGGTTGAGAACCAATGCTGTACAGAGAGCTGGTGAAATCATCCTTACCATCTGCATCTTTCCTCTTATTTCCCCTTACAAAGTGGAGTAGCAAATGTTACCAAGTATCAAAAGAATGATATTTCACTACGAAGTCTTTTTAATTCTGAGTCTATTAGAATACCCAAGACAAACTTCATTGCGAATTTTTCCCAGTAGATGGTAAGTATTGCCAGGATTCCATTATAAACTTAATCTCAGTTACTGCATCTCACCTACTCACCCCTTATCAAGAGTCTGGAATTTACTCAGGTATTATGAAAATGCCTGAAAATATTTGAAGACTATTCTCCTTTGACCTCTCTTACAAACAGGTTACTGCTGATAACCTAAGACACAGTCCCTAAGGCAAGCATTGAATATTTTGCAGAAGTGTTAAGACTGGTTCTCCTGGAAACATATGAATAGAAGGATATATATTTTGGTAAGTAGACTCAGGCTTGGTCTTATTTTGTGTAAAACTCTAAGCCTGGTGATTTCAGTGGACAAATGTATTCAAAACAAACATATTTGGAATGTGTTTCTTGACCTTAGGAGGTTACCTTATGTGGAGAGTCTGCCATCATGTATAAACTAAGCAAATGAGCCATGGGGAAATTTTAGGTGATTACTGAGGACAGGAAAAAGTGGTTCGAAATTTTCAAAATCTGCAGTAAGAAGTATGATGCCAATCATCCAAGAATTCCAGAGGATACTAATGCTTCTGGGGGACAAAATATAATGCTTCTGGAAGCTGAGAGGTGTTTAAAAAAGAAAGTATTGTCTTCCCATCATTCATTGCACTTGAATAATTCTTACAGCCTTTTTCCCATTTGAGAATGGTCAATGAGTTGAAAGGTCAAGGCAGAACCTGTGGCTTATCCAAGTTGTTCTATAATTTGTCAAATAACTGTGAAGGATCTGAGTCCCTACTTACAAGCTATCAGTTTCATGATACTAGCAGAAAACACAAGACTCCTACATGAGAAACAAAGGTCTTTGTTACTCACAGCCATTATCAGTGGCCACTGTGTTAGCATTTTCTTGCATCAGTTACCCAAGCCCTAATTTCCACAGGGTGATACAAAGAGAGCTAGGTGACACCTGTACACACAATGGTTTGCATTATAGGAGAGGAAATCCAAACATGGGAACCCAAATCTTTTATAATGGGCAGTAAGCATGACTTCCGTTTGCTCTGTAGGAAGATACTTTATCTTCTAAGACTGTTCACTATAGAAATACCCTTGAAAAAATAGTCCAGGCCAGGTTTGGTGGCTCATGCCTATAATCCCAGCACTTTGGGAGGCTGAAGCGGGCAGATTGCTTGAGCTCAGGAGACCAAGACCAGCCTGGGCAATGTGGCAAAACCCCATCTCTATATAAAATGCAAAAGTTAGCCGGGTGTGGTGGCACACACCTGTTGTCCCAGCTACTCAGGAGGCTGAGATGGGAGGATTGTTTGCACCCAGAGGTTGAGGCTGCAGTGAGCTGAGATTGTGCCACTGCACTCCAGCCTGGGCCATAGAGCAAGACCCTATCTCAAAAAAAAAAAAAGAAAAAGAAAGAAAAGAAAAGACAATTGTCCAGAAGAAAGACAATGTATTAGTTTGCTATTGCTGTTGTAACAAATTACCATGTACTTAGTGGCTTAAAACAACAGAGATTTATTAACTTACAGTTCTGGAGATCACAAGTCCAAAATTGATCTGAAAAGGCTAAAATCAAAGTCTGTGTTTCTTCTAGAAGCTGTAAGGGAGACTACATTGCCTTTTCCAGTTTCTAGAAGATGCCCACATTCCTTGACTTGTGGCCACATCACTCCAACCTCTACTTTCATTGTCACATCTCCTCTGACTCTCTGCCTCCCTCTTTCCTTCATAAGGATCTTTGTGATGATGTTGGCCCACTCAGATAATCCAAGATTCTCTTCCCATCTTAGTATTCTTAATTACACCATGCAGAGTCACTTTTGCATGTAAGGTAACATATTTTCAAAGGTTACTTTTTTCTTTTTTCTTTTGGTTTTTTTTTTTGAGGGGGAGTCTCACTCTGTCACCCAGGCTGGAGTGCAGTGGTGTGATCTCGGCTCACTGCAAGCTCCGCCTCCTGGGTTCACGCCATTCTCCTGCCTCAGCCTCCCAAGTAGTTGGGACTACAGGTGCCCGCCACCACGCCCAGTTAATTTTTTGTCTTTTTAGTATAGACGGAGTTTCACCGTGTTAGCCAGGATGGTCTCGATCTCCTGAACTCGTGATCTGCCTGCCTCAGCCTCCCAAAGTGCTGGGATTACAGGCGTGAGCCACCGTGTCCAGCGAGGTTTTTCTTTTTCTTTTTCTTTTTCTTTTTTTTTTTAAGAGATAGAATCTCACTCAGTCACCCAGGCTGGAATGCAATGGCATGATCACAGCTCACTGCAGCCAAAACCTCCTAGGCTCAAGCAGTCCTCCCATCTCAGCCTCCCCAGTAGCTGGGATTACAGGTACACACCACCATGCCTAGCTAATCTTTTTATATATAGAGAGAGAGAGAGATGCATTCTCTCTCTGTTTCACAAGATGGTCCCAAAATCCTGGGCTCAAGTGATCCTCCCACCTAACTCTCCTAAATTGCTAAGATAATAGGCCTTTGCCACTGTGCCCAGTCTCAAAGGTTCTGCAGATTAAAATGTGGACATCTTTGGGCAGCCATTGTTCTATCCACTATAGCCAGGCAGTGCCTCTATTCATCAGATGTGCAGAATCATGAAAGACCTATAAAGAATTGTCTTTCGACATCCACCCCTTGTTTCTGTACTTTCTTGACTTCTGGCAAACTTTCCCATGAGTATGCCACACTGATAGTCACTCTGATGAATCTTCACCAGAGGCTGGGACCAAATCTATTCAATTTGTTTCATACAGCATTAATAAGACTTGTCAACAAGACTACTGGTAGCAAGATAAGGCCAACCTGCAATATTAATAACCATGTTTTCCAGCGTTCCAGGCCCAATCAGCTGAACAAATCTCATAAAGCTTTAGGGTCTACTTTGGCTGCCTCCTTGGCATTATGTATTGATTTTTTCCACTTGGCCCAAGGAATATATCCAAGTACAGCAAGATGTATTAGCATTTGCACATATTTCATCATGGCCTGTAAGGAGGAAATCTAGGACAATTACATCAATCAACAACCCTAAGCAGTGAAGTGAGGCGGATTTGAATCCCTTCCAGAGCCAATATGATATCACTGATCATTTCAGCTGAAGTTAGGAAAAATTTTGTTTCATTCTTTTAATTGGCTGGCTCACATTGTAAGAGTAACTGGCACAGGTGCATATATACATAGCAAGTCAGTTATCCCTCTGAGAAAAATCTTCTAAGTAATCTAGAATAGCCTCATTTGCACAGTTCTCCCAGTTATCTACTGATGGTGTTTCCTGAAACACTGGAAGCTTTCTTATGACCACCTCTACAGTGTAAGTCACTGTAAGGTGTTTTGGGGTTTTGTTTTGAGATGGAGTCTTAATGTGTCACCCAGGTTGGAGTGTGGCGGTGCAATCTCGGCTCACTGCAACCTCCACCTCTTAGGTTCAAGCAATTTTCCTGCCTCAGCCTCCTGAGTAGCTGGTACTAGAGGCCCATGCCATCACGCCCTGCGAATTTTTGTATTTTTAGTAGAGATGGGGTTTCACCATGTTAGCCAGGCTGGTCTCAAACTCCCGACCTTGAGTGATCTGTCTGCCTCAGCCTCCCGAAGTGCTGGGATTACAGGCGCGAGCCACTGCACCCAGTCTGTAAGGTGTTTTTAAGATAAGGCAAGTTACTGGCTGACTTCTACATAAGAAATTCATGAGGCAGGCGGATCACTTGAGGTCGGGAGTTCAAGAGCAGCCTGCAACATGATGAAACCTTGTCTCTACTAAAAACACAAAAATTAGCTGGGTGTGGTGGTGTGCGCCTGTAGTCCCAGCTACTCTGGAGGCTGAGGCAGGAGAGTCACTTGAACCCAGGAGGCAAAGGTTGCAGTGAGCCAAGATCGCACCACTGCACTCCAGCCTGGGCGACAGAGTGAAACTGTCTAAAAAATAATAATAATAATAATCAATCCTGGGAGTATACATTGTGCACCTGGAAAGAAAACATTGTTTATAATTATCAGA